GGGGTCACTCAAGCTCCTTAAGTATATGCCCTGTAGTCTCATGGGAAAAACTTAACTAAGGATCAGAGTGACTAAGAATAGGTGTGGGAGGGAGGAGGCTCATGTCCATCTGTCCTTCACTGCATTGCAATGAGGCAGAGGGGGACAGATGAGTCTGTAGTCCTTCAGGGAGGAGCATTCAGGACCCACCCAGAAAAATAGCAGCATCAACTCCCCTTCTCTTCCCTCGCACACTCCTCTGTGCCATCCAGGGCTGCAGCAGCCCACACCCCTCCCCTTCTATCTACCCTTTTATAGTCAGACTACAATCCTTCTTCCAAAAATAAATCGAGGAGAGGCCAGAGAAAACAAAGTTGAAAAGTTTTATACTTTCACTATTCTATCCAGGACATTAGCTGGACAGATTTATCACCCCATTTTCCTAAACTCCCCTACAAATAAGTAATTCTAGGGTATGCCCAAATTACTCAGCCTCTTGACCCAACATGTTTTTGCAATTACTTGGCACAACTGTATGCTACTTAAATTAGGTAACAGTCACCACGTTATTTTTAGGCCCTAGCAACACACACACACACACACACACACACACACACAGAGAGAGAGAGAGAGAGAGAGAGAGAGAGAGAGAGAGAGAGCTATATCTACGCTATTATACTCCCTGGAGAGAAGAACACAAACTATCTTTTGACTGATACCTTTCAATCCACAGAAATAATGCTGAGCTTTGTGTAGGGACATACACTGAGCTCTGCTCAACACTTTGCAAGCCATCGCTTATTGAATTCCTAAGTGCTGTTGTGTCCTCCTTTTACAAATGAGGAAGCCAGAAAGCTAAAGGCTTAAGCAACTCGCCCAAGGACACTGAATAGAGGAACCAGGAGACCTCAGGCCTGCTGATGTGCTGTTCTTTCTACATTTCTCCACATTTTCCTCTCTTACAATCCAGTGTTCTGTTCGGCATTTAGCCGAACAAAATCGGGAATTCAGAATAACAAGAATAAAATAAGTTTGTGATGTAGGTATGTCTTAAAAGAGCATCATCATCACATCCCAGACAAAGAAAGGGGGGATATAGTACTCCCCCAAAAGAAAGCAGGGTAAGAATATTTCCACAGGCGCTCTAATTTCTGAGCATAGTCATTCAGTGTCACCCAACTTTGCACTGCTTTCTAATGCCCACTTCAGGATCCGTTGTGACTAAGGGAAAAATGTTAGACCAACTTTGCTCTTTGTTCAGGAGTTAAAAGGAAGGTTTGGGAGCTTTGAGGTGGGGTGGTACATATAACATGAACTTACAGGTTTTTATAAGACTAGATTTTTATGTATGTGCCATCTTTACATTGAAAACTAGCTCAACTATGTGTTTTAATAGAAAATATTTCTAATATGAAAATGCATAGCAGAGAGTAGAAATTTTGCATATTGATTTGACTCCCTGTGTCTCTCCTTCTGCACCAATGATGTAAGTGACTTCTTGTTCAGTCTTGTTCAGTCACCCCCCACCCCCACATACCCTCAACCCCTTCTAAAAGCCTCTGGTAGAGAGCAGAGTTTTAGAAGGCCACAGCAGACGGTCTATCACTGCTATGTAGCAGGACAGTGTGCTCAGGCCAGGCCTCTGACATACCACTGCATAGGCAGGGACAGACACCCTGAGGAGTCTCGGGTGTGGGGGGGGAGCTTTTCCTTAGACTCTAGAGTCAGTCACTAACAGTGGCATTCCACATTTGAAGAATACTCATGGGCAGGTATATGACACTAAAGTATTTAGCAGGAAAAGTGTCTAAAATGTCTAAAAATGTATATCACCCTGTAAAATATTCCCAGCTTGATTAAACATATAATGCTAACTCTAAGCATTAAACTATTAAATTCTAAACTACTGTGTACGACGTAGAATATATCAAAAACAAGAAAGGGAAGGGGAATAGGGAAAATACACATTTAATCTGATTGGTAGGTATAAAGGTATTCATTGTACACTTTTCTAAGTGTTTGAAATTTTTGGATCATTAAATTTTAAAGGCCTAGGCTGCTCTGAGGAGAGTGTGGCAGGAGACTTGCCCTTCCTACATACATAAAGGGCAAATAATTTTCATGAACCCAGCGTTGTTGAAAAGGAAGGTAGCCTTACAAACATGATGGCAATGACAGCTGCTCTCATGTTAGAAGGTCAAGGATTGTCAAGCCTTCTTTCTTAGGCCAGAAACCAAGTTGCAGTTGATAAAAAAAACAACCAACATTAGGTGGGAAAGGGTACAACTCTTTCAAAGACTAAATCCCTAAAGATTTATTCATTTGAATCACTTGGATGAAGTTGACAAGAAGCAAGGGTCTGATGCCATATACCCTTCAGTGGGTAAGAACGAGACACAGACTTGGACCTAGGTCATACCAGGGCGGGGACTATAAATTAGAACAGTAACTTAATCCAGGGGCTTCTGTGCCTCTGATCAGTTTCACCCCAACCTGAGATTGCCTGACTAAAATGGCAACCCAGCCACCACTGGACTCGGCAAGCAGTTCCAAAAATGGAGAACATGGCATTGAAGTGAGGGACATAAAAGTTGGACCGGGAGGGTAGCAACCAGTGTTTACAAACATGAACCAGAGTCTCAGATGGATCAGGCATCTCTGAAAATAAATGAACAAGGCCTGGGGACTTCCGACCATATATTCTAGCCATCTGCTCCCACCCCACCAGCCACATGCTCCCTGCAAAATTCACTCATTCCAAAATGGTAGCGTTCCCGAACTAGCTGAAATACAATCTCAGATCACCAACAAGGGGTGTCCTAAAATAAACCCAGAAGACAAGCCAGCCCAGGATGGTCTGCTTCATCCACTTGAGAACTTAGGGGAAACTGCACACCATGCTTGTTGAGAGAAGCACACCTCACCCATCACCTCCAGGACACTCTGAAATCAACCTCTGGTTTGACCAGACAAGAGGATAACAGGGAGACTCAACCGTCCACCTCCATTTCCCCTTCCCTAACTTGGTCCTGACTTTAGGCCATTCCTCCCAAAGGTACCAAACTAATAAAGATACCAGAGAAGACAACAGACCATGAACAACATATTTTCAACCAAATTCCAAGATATTTGAAGGAAAATCCCCCCCAAAACTACAAATAACCCAACCTCTACCACCAGAGCGTCTTCCAAGCTGGCCGCCACTGCGTTGCACCAATCCGAAATGACGAGCCCTCAGCGCAGCTGCCCAGGGCGCCTGGTGGTGAGGTCAGCAGCGTGTCCAGCCCCGCCCCACTGAGGCAGTCTTACTCTGACACTGATGAGCAAGTCCAGGCTCGGTGATCCTCAGATGTGTCTACAGGAGAGGATGATTCTGGTCCCCAAGAGAGACATTTCTCAGCAAGTGATAGGCCACCCCTCCGTCCACCAAGCTCCATAGCAAGAGAGAGGATAGATCCCTACACCTCCCAATCAGCCCCATGTTCTAGTTCAGAGTCATCATAAAGTGAGGTGTTTGGTACCTCTTCTTAGATCACCTATTAAAAAAGGGGCTATGTTTTTTAACCAAACCTATCCCAACTACAGGAGGAAAAAAAAAAAGCCAGCAAAGTTATTTGTCTTGGTTAACCAAGACAAAATGTTACACTTGGGGAATTTGTAGATGGTGTTTTCTCATCTGCAAAAAAGACAAGACAAGATCATGCTGAGAGAAAGCCAGCCAAACAAGAATTCAGAGGTAAAGAATAGGGCTACCCCCACATAACTCTGACATATTTGTGACTCTAAGAAAACTTACTGGCACCATCGTAACAGTGACTTGAGCTACCAGAACCATGAAGAACTGTGAGCCCACATGCTCCAAGGAAAGCTGTGTCTTTGTGACAGGTGTCTACCAAGACAGCAAAGGGTTAGGGAAGCGCATCTCACAGCAAGGGTGACTAGAGCATGTTTCTAAGAGCCTTGCAGACTGCATCACTTGGGAGGGACGGAGAATGGATAGAGCTGTCCCACAAAGACAAATCCTAGCTTGCAAGGCCTAAGCAGCCTGTGCCAACTTAAATATGAAAAGTGCTCAGAGGAGCCTGGCAACACTGATAATCAATGATGCTTTAGAACTTTGCTGGAGATGTGACAGGACTCACTCCCCAATGGCTCAAAATGCAAACAAAGATAGTTATCAGTCACCAGGACGACCAGGTAGATGCTATCAGAAGAGTGATGCTCAGAGCAAGTGAGCCGTGCACAAGGTCAGGGCAACCCTGCACGGAAGAAGATCAGAGAAGACTGGGTCATTTGTTCCTCTTGGGGGTTCCAATCATCATGTTAGGAGAAAGTGAGGCATGACTCCTTGGGAAGAACCAGAAGCCAATTGTGGTTAGGTGACACTAAAAAGAACAAAAGGTTTGTAGGGAGTTCATATCTCCATCCCCCGGGAGCTTTCCTGGAGGAATGGATGTATTTGGAGAAGGTACCCCTTCAATGCAGCATTAAAATAAAAATGTCTGCCTTTGTTGAAGATAACTTTATAAACAACGTGAAAGTCAAGACAATCAGACAGGTGAGAAACGCAAGCGTTTCCCACACAAAGGTGGCACCTGAAGATATATCTAATATGTGCCATGTATACTGCCTCCTCTGGGCCATCAGCATTAGCTAGTTCTTGAGAAACAAAGACTTTCCAACCACTCACAGACTGAATCTATAGAGCTCCCAGAGAAGCCACGACTTGAGATAACACCTTGGTTGTATAAAGCACCGTTTGAAAACCCTATCAGGTGAAATGTCTTAGGCAACACAGAAGTCAGATCAAGGCTGGGAACTCAGATCTGGATATCACCGCATTGCTACTTAGATTTTCTCATTGCATGAAAATAGTAAGAAGAGAGTAGAAGAAAGACAAGAAAGGCTATTTTGGTTCACAGTGTCTGGGGAGAAACAAGAAGGCTGCCACTTCTAAGAGACTCTCAGGAGGGAACCTAGCTGATCAGGACAGTATTGGGAAAGGAGTTGGGGATCATTACCTTTCAACACCACGGGTTCTTTGCCTTCTCTCTTCAGGGACTCCAGGACTATGTGAAGTGGCTGGGACGGCATCACTCGGCTCGGCTCATTGGTATTCTCATCATAAACTATAATTTCTTTGGAAAAGATCCTCTTGAAAGAGTCTTTGCCTTCCCTACAGGAAATCAAGTCTAAGACAGTGATCTTGCCCTGCTGCAGCCTCCGCCGGCTGATCTTATCGGCACAGTTAATGTGGACAGCTCCTTGGATATGACTCTTATTGTACTCCATGAAAGGCCTGCAGTCAATAATGACAGGACCCTGGCTGGACAGGTGACTCTTGCTGCATTTGGTCATCTTCTTCGCCAGGTCATTGGGGTAGATGATTTTGATGCTGGCTAGCTGCTTGGGAGTCCCTGACACAGGGCTGCCCACCCCACCCGATGGACTTAAAGAGCCTGTGTTCTCATTGTTGTTGACCATCTGGTTAGCAGGGCAGGTGGTCGAGGTTCCTATGGCGGTGGTGGCAGTGCCAGCGGCAATGGCTTGAGTCTGGGCCTGGTGATCCTTGTCGTAGGTTGTCACCGTACAGCAGCTAGTACTGCTGCATCCACAATTGAGGGAGCGGGCAGAGCCGCTGGATGAGGGCATATACGTCAGATTCGCAGCCTTGAGGGTCACAACAGCGGTGGCAATGACAGGAGGGTGGCTACTGCTGCCTGGGGTGGCAGAGCCAAGGTAGCTAGAGTCTAAACAAAGGTTGAGATCCTGAGGTCGGACAGGCCTAGACAGTGTCACTACTACCCTGTCGTCTAAAGGAGATGGAGGCATGAGGAGGCTGAAAACTGGCAATTCAAGAAGAACTCAAGAGTCTGTAAAGAAGGGGAAGAAGGAAAGAAAGAATAAAGTCATGTGGCACAAAAGGCAGTCTCATCCAATCCCTGGGAAAGACCTCTGCATATCTCAGAGCAAAGTCAGCATCCTCCCAGGTGCCCTTGGTCATGATGCCATCAAAGCCTGAAATTCACTTTGATGTATTCAGAGAGGACACATCCTTGAGGGACCCCATGCATTCTGATGCTAAGTCGAAGGTTAAAATTGGAAGTGAGGTTAGAAATGGTAATTGGCATCCTTTCAGGGACCCAATCAAAGTTCAGCCTTCACGGACATAAAGGCACCGAGAACTGGGAACAATGAAGACCTGACAGGGAGGCTCTTAGATTTATTCTGAGCCTCCTCTCCTGGGCAGGAGTCTATTTCACCTGTGATGGATGCATTTGTCCACCCTGGCATGTATTCTGTTTCATTTCTTTGCCCACTGCCAAGGCAAAGAGATAAGCAAGAGCATTGCCAGAGCTCACAGAGATGCACAGAAATGCGTGGCAGCTAAATTTACATGGGGGCAGATGTCAACTTTCTGCTAATGAGGAACGAACGTGTCTTCCTAAGTCAGTCTCCTGGACTAGGAGCTAATCTTGCTTGCTTCCCTTTCTGGCGGCCCCTTTGAAAACCTCAATGCAGTCCTCTTCAAAGCCCTCATGTCTTCTGTGAGCCTCTTCCAAACCAAGCCGCACTAACTGTCCTAAAACCAAGTCCCAAAAGGAGTCAGGTCTGGGAACCCCAACTCGGGCTGCTGACCCATCATGACCCCTTCTTCCTTGGCCCAGCTCACCCTTGACCCCTCCCTGTGCTGTGCCCCTAAGCAAAGAAGGGTTTGGATTTCATCCGGGTGGTACAGACTTTGCATTGACATTGGAGTAGCAACTCTAAAAGATTTTTTCATTCCTATACTGATGTCCCCTCTTGGAGACAGCATGGATTCCATGAAGGCAACTTCACTTGCTCCTTCACCACAGGCAGGCTAATTAGGAAGCTGGGAAGTGGTGCCCACAGGGGTTACCTCTGCCTTCCCCCAAGGGTGCCTGCAATGGGTCACTTCCCTCCTCCTCCTAGGCACAAGGCCACTCTAAACACAGCCATTCTGACTCCTCTACTAGACATGTACACAGCAAAGAAATCAAACCCCAAGCAAGAGCCACTCACCTAAACGAACTTTTAAGATTTGCCTGGAAAAACATTATGGATCATGGGTCTACTCAAGACCGTCACCGTTCTCTGACACCGAGCCAAAGTGTCACCGGCAGAATCCACACAAGCACACACAGGAGCACGTACCCACCCGTGTCGGCATATCCCCACTGACTCAGGTTTCTCTCATCCACCTTTGGATGGGAGCAAAGGCTCCAACCTCCTCCTGCCTTCCTCCCTCCCTCCCTCACCTCCCTGCCTGCCTCCCTTGCGTAGTACTTTATTTATTTGCAGAGCGAGTACTATTCCAGAAGCTTAACTGTGTCCCTGCTAGACCATGGATGCAGTCAAAGTCTTTGCTATTGTGTTACCTGGCAGAGGACGTCCGGGATCAGTAGCCCATTCCCTAGGAGCAGGACCCAAGAACGTGTTCCCAGAGACAGGCTGGTACCAGCACCTCCACACTGAGTGCACGGCTCGCACCCAGGCACGGAGTGCACCGAAATCTGCATCCTTGCAGCAGATAGCTCCAAAGCCATCCAGTCTGGCCCTGGGAAACCTCCCTCAAAAATAGCGCTTCTCCCTTACCCTGTCCCTCGCTAGTCTCCCTTCTCCCACTAAACAGGGACTGGAGCAAAAAACCTCAAGTGGTTAGGGAATGCTCCTTCCTCACTTCTGGGGCACTTAGCATCCCCCTTCCTCGCCACCGCTGGGCATCAGCTAAGCCTTGGGCTTTGAAAACTGCCACAAAGCATCTTAACCGAACCAAAACTCATTTTCCCCCTTCATCCCAGGGCAACCAGACCCAAAAGCCTAAACCTTAGGACCTTCCTTAACTGATGTGGATTTCTCTGTCTCTTACACACACACACACGCGCACACACACACACACACACACACACACACACACGCACACGCACACGCACACGCACGCACACACACAACCCCACGGGACCCTCCAGCCTCGGGCTCTGAGTGGCCGCGATGACTTCCACTTACTTCATCAATAAGCGTAGCCCTCCACCATCTGGCGCCGGCTCCAGCTATGCGCTCGCGCACTGCGCCCCCATTCACTCAGCTTCATTGATCCCCAGCAGCAACACAGAGTTACTTTCTCTTTTGCTACAGCGTAAATGTAAGCTCCGGAGGGGGCGGGGCTACCGCCGAGCGACGTCGCGCTGCACCAATGAGGATCCAGAGCCCGCGGCCCGCTACCTCACAGTGGCCTGTGGCCAATAGACGGCCGAGGGGGCGGAGAGAGAGGCGTGGCCTCGCCGCGGGAAGGAGGCCCGCTCAGACGCGAAGCTGGGTTTGGTGTGTTAGAACGCGGGCGGTGATGTCATTGGCAACCAATCAAAAACTTAAAAGAGCCAGCCCGGGCCCGCGCGGAGCAGCAGCTCTCTATTTACATGTAAACCTAGGCGGCCGCCAGACGCGGTTAACCCTTCCCGGGGCTGAAGTGTCAATGGCTCGCACTGGCCGCTCTGGCTGAAACTGGTTCTCCCGGCGTGGCGGACCCCGGCCTCGCGGGGTCTCCATTCCACTTCGTGACTCGGGGTGGAGGCTCAGGAGTGTCCGGCCAACTTTCCCGAGGCGGTAGGCGACCCGAAGCCGGGTCTCTCCATGGCCGTGACAGCGCAGCGCGGGACGTGAGCGCGCACAGGGCCGGCCTCCCCGCAGCCCGGCTCTGTCCGGCCCGCAGATGTCGCTGCCTCTCCGGCTGCCCTACTGCTCTCCCGCGCGGCGGCTGCGCGCCGTGCTCCTGTTCCCTTACTTCCGTGCCCCGGTCACTCCCCCGCCGTCCCCGGTGTGTTCACAGGAGCCCGACTCGGAACTCGAAGGTGGCAGCCCGGAGAGCTGCGCGGAGGAGGAGGTTTGGCTCTACTCCAGCGGCCACTGGGGGCGCGTGCTGCGCGGCGGCGTGGGGGCCATCCCGCAAGGCTGGGCGTGGCCGGGCTCGCCCAGCGGCCCACCAGCGCCACAGCCCCGGCACCGGCCCTCAACCCAGCCCACCCCGGGCCTGGCCCCTTCCGCTGCCACCTCCCCGATCGCCGTGTCTTGGCACTCGCAGTCCATCCGCCCCGCGGTGCTGGGCCCTCGGCCGTCCGTGGGGCAGCGCCCTCGGAGAGCCAAGGAGCGCCAGCCTGGAACTGCAAGCGCGGGCGGGAAGGAGCCCGAGTTTAGGGTGGTGAACATCCACAATGAGCGGCGCTGGAGGAGCTTGGAGGAGCCGAATCCAGCTTTCTCGGTTCCCCGAACTTTGGCCATCAGAGGGGTCGCTAGTCGCAGCCTGTGTCCGGGGAAGAGAAGTGGGAAGCTGAACAAGCCTGCCAGCGCCTCGCCAGAAAAATATCAGGGAAGCTGCAGAACAGTAACCCTGGAATTCAAAGGAGTGGAAAAGCCTAGATGAACTATGACGACGATGCATCAAAGAATCCTAAAGCAATAGAGCTTTTTATACCTCCCTACCCCCTCCTAGCTCAGAGAGGAAGACCAAATGTCAAGTAATTGAAGTGGAATAAAAACATTATCTGCTCTGTGCAAAGTCCAGCTGTCACTGCTAATGGGAAGTGTTTGAAGGCGTGCTTTAGACCCCAGACGCTCTTTCGCCATTGACGTGTCGATCTAGAATCCGAAGGTATCCAGCCATCACCTTCGGTGGTCCTCTGTCAACTGACAGTGATCTCCTTTGAGTTCTTGCATGCAGGTGCACACTGGTGTTGCAAAAAGATTGTGTGGCCCTTTTCTACCCAAATACACAACCCCCGCCCCCCCCAACACACACACATCCCTGAATGTCAGTGCATGAGTGTCCAGGACACAGCATTTGGTCCTTAGATCTTTGAGAACCACCTAGCCAGTTAGGCTGCCAGAAAAGAAGATCCCATCAAATGTTTCAGGCTTGTAGATGAAATGTCACAGACCGTCGATGAGCACAGTCACTGGAGGTGACTGGAGGTGGCCGGAGGAGTCCCCACAATTCATGGTTTGAGTTCTAGGTATTGAGTCTCCACCCCTCCACCCCCGCCCAGGAAAACAAAACTGAAAAGGTAGTTGGGAGAGTGAAAGGCATTGCTTTAGAAGGGAGGCACCTCTGCCTAGAGGTACTTACAACCTGTAAATTGTGATTCACAAAGCCCCGAGGTGGGTAATGTGAGAGAGAAACGTAATTCATTTAATGAGATGATTATTTTATTATGGTTTCAAACTAGTAAGTTATTGCAAACCTGTTAAGTAAAAATCTAAGTCATCCAGGCTGGGGGAACTGACAAAACTAACTCATCATCAATCAAACCTGAAGCATGGAATAATTACCAGATTACAAACAAATGCAAAGACATGGAGACTTTTTAAATTAGGCATTACAGTTTGCATAGCTTATGCTCAAGGAAGAAGTCAGACTTCAGAGAGAGCTTTGCACTCTCTATTTTATGATGCTTTTGTACCTCCTCGATTTCGAAGAAAGAAAGAAAGAAAGAAAGAAAGAAAGAAAGAAAGAAAGAAAGAAGAAAGAAAGAAAGAAAAAAGAAAGGAAGTTTTCTGAAATTTGGCCTTTAAGTTTAAATTTGTGGACTCCGTCAGCCAAAGGCATGAACACAACCTGTTTCAAATACACAGCAAAGCCTGACCTAAGTCCCAGAGAAAGCGCAAAGCATCTTCATCGCCCCGGGGATTTGTAATATGCTTGTGTTGGTTTGTAGCTTTGTTCCTACAAACTCTCAGGAACAAGGTTTTTTGTTTGTTTGTTTTTGAGACTTGTGCAGTGTGTTAGAGCTGAAGGATGCAGCTAACCATGGCCAAGATTGGAGACTGAAAACGGATACTTTAGGGGGACATGTTCTAAAGCTTAATCCAGGTGTCTGATGGCAGATGGTGAGGTCTTCAAATTCATTCTGAAGGAAAAGCTAGATGGAGGGGGGGCTCTTACCGGAAATGTGGCAATATTAAGTCCCAAGATAAAGACAATATTCAATCAGCAAGAAGCAGGGAAAGTGCCGAGGAATAATAGGAGGAGGAGGTAGGAAGCAAAGTCCTGCTAGCCAGCCTGGGGCGAGGCCAGGAGGAGCCCTTGGAGGAAGTGGCCTGGAAGGTCTATTCACTTGTTGAGCTTCAGTCCTTGATGTGATTGTGTCATAGACCACCTTGCTGGGGTGATGATGCAATGAGGGTGCAGCTTTGTGGATGACTGGGAAGGGAATTCTTCCTTCTGTCCTTTCTGCCACAGGCATCCATGGTGCCTCTTTCCTCCCAAGTACATAGTAGTAACTGGTGCCGTCTTGGAAGCTGGGGGGCCAGACCCTCACCAGAGGCTCTCTTAGTCTTGTTTTCTCGGACTGAAGAACTGTGCAAGTTGTTTTTAACTGCAGAGACAGGATTAGTCTCGCCCCTGTGCTTAGTCACTAGGAGCAAGTTCTGGCCCTGGAGGGCCGTGAGTAGCACATGTCTGGAACTCAGGAAAGGACTCTGTTTCATTTTGGCGGCCACTTACATGTGGATTTTGCATGCATGAAGTGTGGTTGCTGCAACTGAGACACACCTTGGGTTTTGAAAACTTGTGGAACATATAAAGGATGTTATATGTGAATTGTGTTATGTGTGGATTGCTTGCCTCTTAGATATGCTGGGTTGTGTGTCATTAAAATGAATGTCACCCATCTTTTAGTTCAAATGTGACTAGTAGATCACTTCAAATAACATGTTCACTCTACCTGTTTCTGCTGGATGACACCATTCTAGAACCTTCCGGGACTGCTTCAATCTAAGCCATGTGGATGCCAAGATCACTCCACCAGGACTTCAGGGCCTCTCCAGGCCCTAAGCGTATCTAGAAGACATGGGACACTGTGAGTGGGAGTGGAGACCTGCTGTGGATCTCTGTGGCCACACCTCTAGTCTCTGCTTTCAAGACAGATCCTGATAGCTCTGTATTGTTTTTGAATTTTTGAAAACAGTTTCCCTGTAAGGCATTTAGAGGCCCAGAGACTAGAGATGACATAGCCAAAACCATGTTTGATATTGGGACATGGCCCAAACATCTTTTCAAAACTCAAACCTGGCCTCCACTGGCCACACAAAGGTGAATAGCTGGATAGGGAAGTCATAGGTCCCCTGTCTTCACTTAAGCAGCAAGACCCCTTCTCTGAAGCTGCCTTTGCTTCTGCTCCACGGACTGCCCCTGCCTTGTGATGTCACAAATATCTGCTCTTCATCAGGAGAGTATTCTGACTAGGCCCAAGGGTCATGATTATATACCCAATGTACTAGCCATAGTTCGCTAGCAACATTTAACTGATGGCTTCTAATTATTATTGGGTATTGTCACACCAAAGACTGTTCACATTTCCCCTGTCATCAAGCTGAGCAATCAGGGTTCACCCTTAGAAATCCCTGCCAGGACTAGTCTCAGAACTGAGTGTGATCTTACTGAGGAGGTAGGATACTGAAAAGGAAATGTATGGTGAGCATTGCTAACCACCCTGGGACTTGCTTCATGTCTGACACAGGTTGAGCATTCTTAATCCTGAAAATCCAAAATGCTCCCACATTAAACACGTTTTGATCATAAATATGATGTCACAGTAGAAATTTCAAACTGCGGTATATTAAAATGTTTATAATATCACCTCCGGGTATGTGTATAAGGTTTATATAAAGCAAATGAGGGAACTGGAGTGTTGACTCCATAGTTAAAGAATGCTTGCTGCTTCCACAGAGGACCTGAGCTCAGCCCCCAGCACCTATGTCTGGCAGCTCATGACAAATTGAGTTATAACTCCAGTTCTGAGGACACCTTCACTCATGTGCACATGCTCCACAAACACAACACACACACACACACACACACACACACACACACACACAATCTTTAGGAACCATAAACAATGGCTGGGGAAATGGTCCAGTTCATGAGTGCAAGTAGGAGGACAGAATTTAGATGGCCAGCACCCATTCGGGATACCTAAGCCTGCTCTGTTTGCTCATTTAATCTTAGCAACTCTTTCTTGCCTGCAGATGTAGCATTTTCTTTAGCTGTCCCAGTGTGCCCTGATGTACTTTGTTGTCTTTACAAGCAAGTATCAACTGACCTGATTGTGAAGAGCTAGGTTTAGGAGAAGAGCTGTGAAGGAACCACATCTATGGAGTTGCTCTGTGCTGAGCAGCGCTGGGATTATTTACAAACATGGACGCATTTAAACCTCAGCATTAGCATCGGTGCTAAAGTAGCTTTCGTTTGAAGATGAGGATGTAAGAACAGCAAAGGTTAGGTGACTTATCCTAACTCATCCAGCTAGAAAACAGCAGAATCAGTCTTTGAGATGGAAATACAGAGCAGCTGTTTGCAAGCACCCTGGGCTATTTAGCCCATCCTCTTCTCGATCTTGTGGATACTTATCCCTCCTGGGTACCTTGAATAGACTCTATAAAATTTGTCTATTTTTCTTTCGTTTTCTACTGATATTCTGGGAGTCCCAAGAGCTTTGGCTGGGTGATTGGATCATGAGAGTTCTGGCCTTTTATTCTCATTAACTCTCTTATTGCTTTGTAGTTCAATGGGTAACTAGAAGGTAGTAGAAAGTTTAGGGGGTGGAGCCTAGTTGTAGTGTATAGGTTATTAGGAATGGGCCATTTACGGGCATATTTGGTGCCTATTCCTTTTGTCTTCTTTTCTCTGCTTCCTAGTCACGGGAGGTGAGCAGTGTCACTCCCCACTGTGAAGTAATTTACCACCTGTGTAGTCAACTCAATTGACCATGCACTGAACCCTCTGTAACCACGCCCCCCCCAACAAACCTTTGTCCTTCAAGCTTATTCTCTCGGGTATTTTGTCATAGCAATGGAATGCTGACTAGCAGGACTTTTATTTGAGGTTTTAATTTTTTTTAACATTGGTGTTAGAAAGGGTAACCCTGAGAATAGAGAAGGCAAGGAGTATGCAAGTAGAAGAAAGTGTCAAATCCAGAACTGTTTGGTTTCCTAAGCCAACCTGACTCGACTGGGGGCTGGTGACAGGCCTGTTGAGTCCTTGTCAGTTAAGCTCAGTGTGAGGGTTCTCAGCAGACAGTGGGTTGCTGCTTTGGGGGAGGAAGGCTGGTTTTGAGGGAGATGTCCCTTTACAGATGTCAGTCCCCACTTTATTCCCAGAACTGAGGACTTCTTAGATGAAAGAGGCCAGAAATGGGCCTCCAGGAAAGTTGAAGGAGTTAATGCTGAGAGGACATGTTCAGAGTCACTAGAAGTCCAAAGATGAAGCTCTGTGCCAAATGGCTGTAAGGATGCAGACCTCTTCCCTTCAGGAGTTCAAGCCAGTGCTTCCCCTGGATCGGCGTTTCTCAGCCTGTGAGTCACAACTGCTTTGGATCAATTTGTCACAGTGAAGATACACCCTGCATATCAGATATTTGCATTACCGCTCATAACAGTAGCAAAATTGCAGTTCTGGGGCAGCAATGAAAATAATGTTATCGTGGTGGTCATCACAAGAGGAAGTGTGCTGAAGGGTTGCAGCACTGGGGAGGAGGAGAACCTCGGTGTTTAAGCTTCTGA